CAGAAAGATCCGGTGCCCCCACCGGGACGCCAGTGTAACATGGGATATGTAAAAATGGTGGAGTGTACTGTGGCTGATTAAGTTTATCAAGAGATAATTTTCACATTTTTCCCTGCGATCAATCGATTTGTTGATGATTAAGTACGATTTTAGTCGAGAAAGATGTTCTTTGGTTGACTACAGCCCTAAAATGAATGATAAAGTTGTCCTATTCTGACAGGCTTAATAAAACTAATGTAAAAAGTGAGATAATTATCAATCAAGCACAATCTGTACATAACCCAGGAGCCCTGAGCAGAAGTCTAATCAGGCACGGTAAGTGGAAACCCCTGCGGTCAAGTACTATGCTCGTATATGGGTTTTAAAGGATGGCGAGCCCTTATTTTCGTGTGCATTTCTTGAAATGTGCAGCACTCTTTTCTATTTTTCATTCACGTCGCTGCTTGACTGCTTCTATTTGTGCAAACCACAAGAAGGATTAGAGACATTACGACAGAGATATTTGACTATTTTATCTGGACAAAATCAGTGGAGTAAGAATCCCCCAGGGGGGCTTTTTCCTCTTGTTTGTTTCGGGCTATGTTTTATTCTCTCATATCTATAAACAAATGTTGGCTCCAGCTGTGGAGGGAGGAAAATATAATTCATTATTGTATCTCAACACATGGTCATCAAGCTGACAGGCTGCGGCGTGCCTCATTAATCACTTATTCTGCTGCAGGATCCAGACTTTAACCAACCGGCCCTGATGATCAATGGGATACTACAAACCAAAGCTTAGATTTTTAGCGCCTTTAGATTTATTACGGCTCAGGTGTCTTTACTGACAGTCTTGAGAAAGTTTGGCGAAAGTCAAGAATACAGATGAGGAGACGGGCGTTTTGAAGATGAGGATCCAGTGGAGTTGGAGTGTTAAGAGTGAGATGTCCACAGCTTCTCTCTTTCTCCTTTACCACACCTCCATAAATATATAACTGTAGCCCCACAGTGGAAACACAGAGCATCAATATTACAGCTTCCAAAAATGCCTCTGCTCTCCAAAAAAAAAAACCCTAAATCCTTGGAGACAGCTCTTGAGGTGCGCTGCAGGTGATTTCTTCATTTTGCCTTAAATAATAATTTGACATGGAGCAGATGCAGTGCAGCGGATGCTAGTTTGATATGCCTCTCTTCTATCTAAAATCATCTGGAATCAGAAGGAAAACACAGAAGTTCTTTAATAAGCTCGTCAGCCGTGAATGATGACGGAAACAGGAGCTACAGACGTGAAATGTAAGACAGTAATTGAGTCAGACTTTTCATTTTCTCTCCACAGCATCACTGTGTTAAACCGGAAAAACTGCGGTCAAGCTTTCGCTGTTACAGGCAATTAACCTTTTTGCCTTTAATTGTAATTAATATGAAGAAAAACACCAGATATGCTGTTGTTTAGCAGCGCTGGGGAAGGCAACCGAACACTCCAGAGGGAAGAAAACCAAAGAACTAATCAGTAAATAACAAATATTTGATGAACGTGCTTTCCTCATCATTTATTCCAATTGCTGGGAAAAAACTATTAAGTTTTGACTGCCATTAATGACAAACAAACCGAATCGACTGCAGCAAATCATTACAAACTACACGTGGGCGGAATACGTGCAGTTAACATGCATTTGTCACAAATGATTGATCCGACGGCAGATTGTTGATTGATTTCCAATTTAGGCTCGCCTAAATGTTGCATAATACGTACTTTTGGGTCTGAGGTTTAAAGGTTATTGATAATCAGACTCAGGACAATGTGCCTGTCATGACCCTTGACCCCTGATCTATGACCACTTTCCATAAGTAATGATTCGTAAAGCTGCAGCTCGGTCTTTTGTCTTTGCATTGATGAAGTAGGAACGTATTCAATAACAAATAATTGATGAGCCTTATATTTATGCAATGTCTTAAATACAGCAAGCTGAACTCACTGCATAGAAGAAATTGGAAAATTTTAAAAGTCAAAAAATGACAGACCAAGCTTTTTAAATTTGCAGTATAGCTCCTGTATCTAATCTAATATTTATTCTTCAGTTATTTGACTCACAATCAATGAGGCTGTCAGCTTTGCATGACATTTTCAGGCCCAGTCGGACGCCGCTGTGTTCAAATTCCTGCACGTCTCACTCAAGGTAAGAAAGTCACTTTGATATTTTCTGCTAATTTCAACATCTGCTTCCTCTTCCCTTTATTTTCCCATCTTCCCTCATCCACAGCAGCGTGTGTCTCCGCCGCCGCCACACTTTAATCAGCTACTCCACCCCTCACTGAGCTCAGAGCTCCTCGGTGGCCGCGTGTCCTTGCATGTCTCAAACGCACACACACTGGCTCGTACGCCTAAATCACAGCACCACCACCATTTCCTGACAGCCACATTCTCCCATCACACAGCTGAGTGGAAAGATGAGCTGCCTGCTGCTCTTGGGGCAGCGGGTGGCGACGCACACACACACACACACACACACTGAGAAACAATCGCACACATAGTTGAGCACAAATAGTGCACCTTCAACAGCCTCTGGCATAAATGGATGACTTACAGCATATGGATATTCCCTGTTCATTTTCAATCAGGGAGCTTGATCCAAAAACTACTGGACCTGACAGCAGAGCAGTCAGCGCACCGAGATTGGATCCAGAGTGCTTCGAACACACCGGGAAACGAAGCCCGGCCAGGGAAACTGGTGTTTTCCTCATGAATTGACTGCACAGTTGAGTACATCTGCTAAATGTTAGCCCAGCATATGCCCGTCTCTCTTCCCCTTATGCCACAGCGACGCAGCATTTTGTCTGCAGCTGCTAACCTCCGCGTTCACACCTGACCTGGCGGTGACTCACCGATCTCGCAGCTCTCTCCGGAGAAACCCTGAGGACAGTAGCAACTATAGCCATCTCCTTCCTGCAGGCAGCTCCCTCCGTGGAGACAGGGGTTGGTCTGGCAGGGGTTATTGTCCACTGTGAAGAGAGACAGCATGAGGGTTAACTGAATGTAGGATTTATTTTCTTCAGAGTCAGAGTGTTAAAAAAGTGCCGTGAAAGTTGACAAACTATGGCCGGCAATGAGCCAGCATTATGTTCCTGTCATTACATTTACAGAGCCCATCTTTTGGCTGCTCTCTGACAGAGGAAGAGTAAAGTGGGCTGACAGTATGTAGACGTGTTTCTATGACTTTCTACAAGGTGACGGATTGGCTGTTGTTGCGTCTGCCGTGCCCCTATTTATCATGACTGATAGTAAATGGGGGCACGCCAGGCGAAGGACAATATGCTGAGTCGAAGCCCTCCTGCCTTTTTCCTGCCTCACATCTCAGGTCCTGCTGATGAGCCAGGGTCCTCGTAAATTAGTTGATCATCGACCAGTCATGCATACTGGCGCAAGAACCTATTTCTATGGCACATTACTGCGTCGCAGGGATGGCAATAAACACATTTTACGTTACTGGGGTATAACTCGGCGCCACTTCATGGGAAATGCTTTGGTGGATGGAACGCTGGAGATCGAGAAGATTAAATCGTAATTATTGTTCTTATATTTTAGGATGGGAAGAAGGGAGGAGACAAGGACGGTTAGAGCACAGAGTCATCGTCAGGATTTTTATTCTGTGTGCAGAGAAGGACTGGTGGGAACTGGCTAGATTAAGTGTCCTTTTATTATCCAATCCTGATAGGATTGCAGGCTCTGACACAATCTGTCAGGCCATCTAATACACTGCATCTTTCCATAATAACACCCTGACTCACTAATGATGTATGAGCAGGGAGATGCTGTGCCGAGCGCAGAGTGCAGTTCTCCTGAAAGTCTGGGAATACTGTCAATTGTGTCTCTGGGTGTGTTTATGAATAAGTGTGGAAGCATATGTGCGTGCAATTCCATACGTTTGTCTGACCCTGCCCTCATCGCATGCCTGTGAGATGTAATGTGGGTGTATGTTCAATTTCCTGTTAAAACAGGGCGATAGACTCCCACAGCTGCAGAGACGCCACTGTTGATACACTGAACAGGGGAGATGATGGAAAAGCTGCCTTTGAAAATACATAAAAGTGATTCGCTGAATGAGAAAAACCATTAGAGACACGCTCTTTTCTTAATTCAGCAGCAGGGAGGGAAAAAAGCCAACACTGTACGTGATTTGAAAACATACATTGCTTAAAGGTCAATGATGTGCTGATGGAGAAGGAAAAATCAGCAAGTGCTGAGTAGTGTGTGACGAGCAAAAGGAGAAAAAAAACACACATATTGTATGGTCAATGTGAGTGCCTGGTTGGGTTTACAAATGTCAGGCAGCGGAACTGTGGAAATGGGGAAAAGAGGTGAAGGAAAAGAGCTGAATTCTCCATCTATCCGTCCATTCATTATTTGTGAAAGCAAGCGAGTGCAATGTGCTGACAGCGAGTCCCTGTGCATAATACCAGTGAACATGTAACACACTTTCATCTATAGCTTGGCAGTCAGTGACCTAAAAGTAGAGCTGGCCGACAAAACGATATGTACTGATGAGAGACATTATATTAATTGCAGGAAGAAAACAGTTAAACAGATTGAGCATTTGATGCAAACCGTCACAAGAATACACAGCGACAATGCAAAGTTCAGTTGCATGAACAAATCCCAAGCATGTTCCCTCTCTGGCTGATGAACAGCCTATCACAGCCCTTGACAATGGAGTCTCTTCACCTTTTCTATCTCCCTTGGTGACTTCTGTGCAGGTCTCCCAAGGTGCATTAGTCTGTGGCTGCTTGGCCTCTCCTCAGCTCTGTCCATGGCAGCAGACCTCTCCTGGTGGAGGCTGGTGTGGTTGATGCACACCCACAACCCTGTATCTCCAACAACTGCACCATAGTCTGACTCACCGAAGGTAGATTGTGGAATCCCTTTTGAGCTCTGGGCAGCAATCTACCGCACTAAAAAGTTTTGTCACTCAGTGGAGAAAACACCACTGCAGCATCCTTTGCTTAGCTCCACCCAATAACACTCTATGATCAGTTTAAAGAAATACAACAAGCCAGAGTTAGTTTTTACTCCTCCATAGCAGAAATGATAATGAGGTGCAGAGACCATTCTGTGTTGCACAACTTCCATCTAAGAAAGCACTCCCAGGACCTGATGTCAATGTGCAGGCAGAGGCCGATGTGAGGTCTCCATCAGATGAACCCAGGTTTAGTCACTAGTAACCTTAACCTTAGAGCAGTGAAGCAGCTTCTCCTCAAGGATTTTGCTTCCTTTTTTATTTAATGTGTAACAAGGTGGGATATTTTTTGATTCCTTATTTATTTTTATTAATTGTGTACATTTATGTATTCATATGTTTTTTTCAGTTTTGTGTTACCGGGAAGATTATTTACCTTAGTTAGTGCTTAAACTCAGAGTAAACTTTTATTTTTTGGCTGGTATTTAGCACAAATTAGAAAATCAAACATGATGAATAATCATCAAAAACGCCTTAAATTAAGCATTTTGTTGTGATACGGTTTTTCATTTATCGCCCACCCTTAGGTGAAGTTTCACACATCAACAATCAAACATATCCATGAATTAATTATTAGAATAAAATATCCTGCAAAAGGGAGAAGTGACGCCACGTTCTCATTCCAGGTGGAGACAGACCACTGGTTCCGATTTTCTATTCTTCATTATCTTGACCTCCAACTGCAGAAGGGACCAACCACTTAAACTTTAAGAGCCAGAAAATAGCCGCACTTCAAATACTCACAGCACATCATTCACATTCACTCTACAGTTTATTTAATGATATTTTAATGTCATTTAACTGGACAGGCAGAAGTCAAACTATCAAAGTAACACTATCTGGTTAGTGTTTAATGTAATGTATGTGCTATTCTTCATCACTTAAGTACAGGAAACTACAACCACTACATCACAAAGTGTATTGAGTTACTTAACAGCACGTTTCTTGATGCGATCATCGCAATGATCACAATGTTAATGTGAGACGAGACAAGAAACTAACCAATGACGTCCATTGTTTCTTCTGATTAACTGTTTATTGTTGAAGTGTGCTCTAAGAAGTGTTGCTCTGTTGACACATTTTTACCAGAAAGGATGGATCCATTTCTCATGCAATTAGCGTATTATTAGCATAAAGAGGTGTAATCTACGCTAACTTCAGTGTGTAAGGAAAATTAGGAGACATTATCGGAAAATCTTTTTAGCTAAAACTTGGAGCTACATGGTTTTTGGGTGACACTAGATGTCAACATGCAGCATTTGTTTTGGGAAAGAACAATTTTTCAAGGTGGCTTGTGCAGAAATTCTATACAAAAATGTTTCAGCATGACAAGAACATGGCGGCTGGCTCCACTCCACTGCGAAATTCAGTGTTTTTGTCTAATGATCAAGGTGATGTTTCATTCAGTTTAGAACAATATGCGCGTGCCATTTGAAATACTAACAGCACAAGCCAAAGCATATCACACTGTTGCAAAATTCTCTACACATGATATAGGAAACAAAACTCTTGTAAAACTGCTTCAGTTCAAAGGCAGATGGCCTTGCTTGGCAGATTAGCATAACAATCATCTATAAAATGCAAACACTTCAAATTCCCATTGTTTATAGTTGACTGTTTATCGTTCTTAAACCCTTCTGGGGAGAGAAAGTAGTTTCTCAAGCCCTCCTAAAAATAACAAAACTCTTTTCTTTCCTCAGTGTCACTGTTTCAGCTGTGACTCATTTCAGGGGGAAGTTGTCCAACATGTAGCTATTCGAAAAGCGCCAATTTGATGAGGTCACGAAAGCTGGTGGCACATCTGTTCAAGTATAACAGTATCATTATCTTGACTAATTGGAATGCAAACTGGTTAATTGACTAAATACGCTGTATATTGATCATGCAGCACTGAAGCACTGGTTAGAGGCAGCAACTGAAACTGAAAACAGAGTGGAGATTTTTTATTATCTCTTTGCAAAACTTGCAGAAATGCTGTGTGCAAAACATCTGAATATTGTGTGAAGCTTTGCATGAAGAAAATGGATGATTGAAACTCAGAGCCCACAGGTGATTTTTGAGCAGTTAGAGCAAACAAACAGCAGAAGAAAAGACAACAGGGTGATGGATGTATTATATGAAATATCTCCATGATTAACCAATAGACTTTAACAGCATTATATATGACTGTATTCCCTTTATGTGAGCTTGTTCCTGGGTGTTGTGAAGCTGTACTTAAGTAGCGCTTTGAACTAAATACTAATATTAGCATTCTAGCGGTCTCACAGAGACGTTGTAATCTTTTAGCACTGCCACGGTGGTCAGGGAATCACTTGTCTGACTCTCTAGATGCAGACTGTGGATAGAAGCCTGCCACTTTTGCTGCATATTTCACACAGTGTTCTCGTCTCCTTTTGCTATTTGCATGTTTTTAAAATCTCCTTTGCTACAGGAAACAAAAGCATCCTCTGGGCATCAATGAAAGGACGATATAAGTCTTTCAATTTGCTTATCTTTAAATCAAATCTGATTTTAAAAACACAAAAAAATCTTTGAATGCACCACAGAAAAGCCCAGATTCTATCCAGCAGAAACCTAATGGCTGGTGTTGACCAGTTATTGTCGGTTGGAGTCGATTTGTGACATTTATTCACTCTGGCAGCAGCATGTGCTAATTACATTTACTTGACCAATTCACAGATCTGCTCTACTTTACATGAGCCTCTGTAATATCGGTTTAATATATTTTTGCAAGCGCCACTTACAGCTAACAAATTGTCTGTGGTTTCAATGAGTCCAGTTCTGTCAGCGTTAAAGAACAGATTTCACTTCTAGGGCACTGATTATCAAAATATATCTTTTTTATCAGAAACTTCCTACAACACAATCAACATTTTGTTTTTGCAGCCAGTTATCCATTTTAGTGACAGTGCTTGCTTCCTCATGTGTAAATGTTCCACCATAACAAGTTCCCCTTTTATTTTAAAGGGGCATCATCCCTGCATCCTG